TAAGGGTTTGCCAGTTTTGTTTATCTCTAAAAACTAACTTTTGTTGATCTTTTCTATTTTTTTGTCACTATTTTACTTCTGGTCTGATTGTTATTATTTCTTGTTTTTGCTTTTCTAGTTTCTTGAGGTGCATTGCTAGGTTATTTTAAATCTTTCTATTTGGGGGGATGTAGGCATTTATTGTTATGAACTTGCCTCTTAACACTGCCTTGTCAATGTCCCATTAGTTTTGACATGTTGTACTGGTATTGCTATTTCATTTATTTAAAGGAATTTTTAAATTTCCTTCCTAATTTCTTCCTTTACCAGTTTGTTTATCTTCCATGCATTCATATTATTTCAAATGCTCCTCTTCCTGTTGACTTCTAGTATTATTCCATTGTGATCATGTAAGATACTTGATATACTTTGATTCTTTAAAAAATTGTGAGACTATTTTGTGTCCTAATACATGGTCAATCCTGGAGAATGTTCTATGTGCTGATGAAAAGATTGTGTATTCTGCAGTTGTTGGGTAAAATATTCTGTAAATGTCTGTTAGATGCATTTAGTCTATGGTATAGTTTAAATCCAATGTTTCTTTATTGATTTTCTGTCTAGAAGAGCGGTCCAATGCTGAGAGTGAGATATTGAAGTATCCTACTGTTATTATATTGAACTGTATCTCTCTTGTTGGATACTATTTGCTTTATAAATAAAATACTATTTGCTTTATAAATAAAATACTAATAGTAAAATACTGTTTGCTTTATATATCTGTGTTGGATGTGTAATATAGTTGTTATCCTCTTGCTGAATTGATTCCGTTATTATTTCATAATTTCCTTGTCTCTTTTTACAGTTTTTGACAAAGTCTATTTTATCTGATAGAAATATAGCCACTCCTGCTTGCCTTTGATTTCCATTTGTGTGGAATATCTTTTTTTCTTCCCTTCAGCCTGTGTGCCTTTACAAGTGAGGTGAGTTTTTTGTAGCCAACATATAGTTGGATGTTGTTCTTTTAATCCATTTTCAATATTGTTCTTTTCATCTGTTTGGCCAGTCTATGTCTTTTACTTGGAGAATTTGTTTCATTGTAGATTAGTATTGATAGATGAAGACTTACTCCTATCATTTTATCAGTTGTTTTCTAGTTGTTTTATGTGTCCTTTTTTCTTGACTTTCTCTCTTATTGCTTATTTTTGCAATTTGATGGTTTATGTAACAATAACACTTCATTTCTTTCTTTCTCCTTCTGTATCAGTCATATCAATGAGTTTTATAATTTTTTTGTGTTTTCATGATGGTAGTTATCATCATTTCTCTTTCAATTTGTAAGACTCCCTTAAGCATTTCTTATAAGGGCTGGTACAGTGTTGATAAATTCCCTTAGTTATTGCTTGTCCGAAAAAGACTTTATTTCTTTTTCATTTCTGAATGATAGTTTCGCTGGATATAATGTTCTTTGTGATAGGATTTTTTTTCTTTTTTTTCAATAATTCGAACATATTATTCCATTTTCTCCTGGCCTATAAGTTTCTGCTGAGAAACCTGCTGTTTGTCTACTGGGTATTCCTTTATACTTGTATGTGACCTGAAACTTTTCTCTTGCTGTTTTTAGCATTCTTTCTTTGTCTTTCACTTTTGACAGTGTGATTATATGTGTCTTGGAGAGGACCTGATTGGGTTGAATCTATATGGGGATATTTGAGCTTCCTAGATCTGTATGTCCATCTCTCTTTGTAGACTTAGGACATTTTTAGCTATTATTTCATTAAATACCTTTCTGTATTCTCTCCCTTCTCTTCTCCTTCTCAAATGTCCATAATGTAAAAAATTGTTTACTCAATGATATCTCATAAATCCAGTAGGATTTCTTTGCTCTTTTTGTTGTCTCAGAGAAGGGGTTGTGGGTTTTGTGTATGTGTGTGTTGTTTTGTTATCGTTGTTGTCTGACTCAGTTATTTCAAAAGACCTGTCTTCAAGTTCAGAAATTTTTTGTTCAAGAACGTTCTGCTTGATACAGTCTTGTTGAAGTTCTTGGTTGTAATTTTTAACTTCATTCACTGAATTCTTCAGCTCTAGGATTTCTATTTGGTTCTTCTTTATAATGTCTCTTTATTAAATTTCTTATTCACATCATGAATTGTTTTCCTGAGTTTGGTGGTTTGTGTATCTGTATTCTCTTTTATTTCACTTACGTTTCCTTAAGATTCTTATTTTGAATTGTTTTTCTGGCATTTTGTGTATTTCCTTATGGTTAGGATTTATTACTGGAGGGTGTTGTGTTCCTTTGGATGGGTTATGTTTCCTTGCTTTTTCATGTTTGATATGTCCATATGTTCATTTCTTTTCTTTTCCTTTTTTTTTTAGAGACAGAGTCTTACTTTGTTGCCCTCGATACTGTGCTGTGGCATCACAGCTCACAGCAACCTCCAGCTCTTGGGTTTAAGAGATTCTCTTGCCTCCACCTCCCAAGTAGCTGGGACTATAGGCACCCGCCACAATACCTGGCTATTTTTTTGTTACAGTTGGCTGGGCCAGGTTTGAACCCACCACCCTCAGTATATGGGGCCAGCACCCTACTCACTGAGCCACAGGTGCCACTTCATATGTTCATTTCTATACATGTAATGGAACAGTTGTCTCTTCCAATTTTATGGAGTAGCTTTCTTTAAACCATTTACATTTAAAGTGATAATAGATGTGTTTATTTTAAATTTACCATCTTACAATTTGTTTTCTATTTTGCCAATTCTTTATTCCACATTTTCTCATGTTCTACTTTTCTTTGAATCAAGTATTATAATTCCTACTTTTCTCTTTTATTGCTTTCTTAGCTATAATTTTTGCTCTTTTACTTTAGTGACTTCTTTAGGGTTATAGTATACCTTTTTAACTTATCACAGTCTATCTTCAATTAAAATTATACATATATATAGTATAAGTAAAATCTTATTATACTTTTATAGTGTAGAATGTAGATACTACTTATATTTCATACATATGTAAAGTGTAACAAGTATCATAAAATTATACTACTATATGTGTACAGAAGGTGCCAAAAAATGTATACAAATTTTAAGAAAGTAAAAAACTGTATTACAATGTAATACTCAAGTCACATTTGACTTCTGCAATTATAAGAGATGCAAGGTACTATATATATATATATATATATATATATATAATTGGTATATATCAAGTATATGTGAACTATAAGAACTTACAACATGTTTCTATTTTTCCCTTCCTAACCTTATTGTATTATTGACATACATTTTACTTATTATTATACAAGTGTTATAAACTCTAGCGCACATTTACATTATTTTGCCCTAAATAGGCAATTATTTTTTACAGGGACCTAAATAATAAGAAAAAAGTATCTTATGTTTACCCACATAGTTACCATTTCTGGTACTCTTTATTCTTTTGAGTAGATCCAGATTTCCATCTGCCTAAAACTTCCTTCAACATTTCTTTTAGTATAGGTCTATTTGTATGAATCTTTTTAATTTCTGTACATCTGGAAAAGAAATCAATAAGTTTTTACCTCAGTTTTTATAAGTTTTATCTTTAGAAGTTGCATTTGGTCTTTTTAATATTGCCTATTTCTCTCTTCATTCTGTTCATGTTTTGCTTTCATGTTTTCAACATTTTTTTTATTAAATCATTTGTACATAGATCATAAATACATTTATGCCATTATGGGATTCAATATGCTTTCAACATTTTATAACTCTTAACATTCTTGTCTGCTAATTGTATTATCTCTTTCATTTCTTTGTCTATTTCTATTGACTGATTTTTCTGCTTGTTATGCATATTATGAATTTCATATTAATTTTTTTCTTTAAAAAGCTTTAGATTTTACTTTTTCAGATAGTTAAGTTTCTAATGAATTAGTTTGATCTTTTAAAGGCATATGTTTAATTTTTCTTATGGCAATTTTAGAGTACCCTTCGCCTAATGCTACATTAGCTTCACTACCAAGATGATCCTCTAATGTCACCACTGAATTCCTCAGGTGTTCAACAGAGACTGAACTTTGGTTGGCAAAAACTAAAGTTTCTCAGTCCTGTGTGATCTCGGAGAGCTATTCCATTTATAGCTCCTCAGACATTCTTTGGCTGGCATCTTAGAGTTTTACCTTACTCATGCATGCCTTAGTACAAGTCATGTACTAACATAACAATATTTCAGATGAACTGTATATGCAATGGTGTTTTCATAAGGTTATAATACCATATTTTTATTAAGTAAAATTTTGTTTTATGTTTAGATACATGCATATTTAGCCTTATGTTATAGTTACCTATAGTATTCCTTGCAGTAACATGATGTATGGGTATGTAGCCTAGGAGCAATAGGGTATATACCATATGGCCTAGGTGTGCAATAGGCTATACCATCTAGATTTGGGTCAGTACACTCTATGATGTTTGCACAATGATAAAATCATGTAATGGTGCATTACTTTGAACATAATTCCCTTCAGTGAGTGATGCATGTCTGTATTTATCAGTAGAATCAAGAAATCGCCCATGCATTAGGGAAAAAAAATTATAATATCACCTATGTAGATTTTTGGAGCTCCTTTTCTATTCATCGTCCCATCTCTGGTATTATGCCCACCAATTCCAGCCACCTCGGCCTTTCTTAACCCTAATCTTTGTCTCTTCAATTTAGCAATGCTCTGACTTTGATCACCTATCTGCTTTGTAGTATGGAAAGTGCCTCTAGGCCGACAACTGAGGCAATCATACGAGTCGCCTATTCATCTCTCTTCTCTCAGGGGTCACAGTCCTGCCCTGGCTATTGTACATTTTTGATAAATAGTTATTTCATTAAGTTTGTCTAGTTTTCTAGTTGTTTATAGCAGAAGGGTAAGCATAGTCCTGGTTATTCCATCGAAGCTATGAAAGCAGAAGCGATGTCATTTATTTTTAAAATCAACAATTTACAGCAATCTATTTTGGGCATACAGAGCAAAGAAAGAGATTGAATATCAGGAACTGATGTTTCTTTTAACTGGAGGAGTAAGTCTTAAGAGTGCTGAGAAGAATCCTGATCCAACTTGGCTGCAGGATAAAAGCTGGGAGGAAATTTGTCGTGCAAGTGAATTTCCTGCCTTCAGGGGGTTCAGGTAATTGTTCAAATTTGATGATTTAGCATTTGAATAGTGATAGCTAAATTTGTTCTGTAATCTAGTGATTTTTAAATGGTCCTATAATTGTCTTGTTTCTTCCCTTTGTTCAGTAATCCCTTTATAAATTTTCCCCAATGAAAAGAATAACTATTAAGCTTTTTTTCCATCAGGACGCATTTTTGTGAATACATATCTGAATGGCAGGAAATCTATAACAGTAAAGAGCCACACAATGCTAAATTTCCAGCACCAATGGATACAAATCTAAATGAGCTACAGAAAATAATAATTCTTCGGTGCTTAAGACCTGATAAGGTAAAAGACAAAAGTTTTCTATTTGGAAGGAAAATAATTTGCCATTTATGGAGCCTTAGGTATAAAGTAATTGTTACTCCATTCTTTAACTGTGATTTCAGTTACTCAAAGAGTTTTATTATCCTGTTTAGGGTTAATTGAGCTTCTGGATTTTTAGGTTTATTATTGTCCTCCAACTTGGGAATATTTTTGGTCATTATTTCTTTAAATATTTTTTGCCACCCCAAGTAGAATTCCAATTACATGTATACTAGATTGTATAATGTTATGCCACAGGTGACTTATACTCTGTTAATTATTTTTTAATCTTTTGAATTTCTGTGCATGAGTTTGGAAAGTTTCTGTTGATATCTTTATATTTGCTGATTTTTTTCTTTTATAGTATCTAATCTGCTATTACTCCCATCCAATTAATTTTTATTTTAATAATTACATAGCATATTTAATCTCTAAAAATTTTGTTTGGGGGCAGTGCCTGTGGCTCAAAGGAATAGGGCGCTGCCCCCATATACCAGAGATGGTGGGTTCAAACCCAGCCCCAACCAAAAACTGCAAAAAAAAAAAATTGTTTTTTGTTTGGTTCTTTCTATATATTCTATTTCTTTTTCCATACTGCTCATATTTTCCTTTAAATACTTGAACACAATTATAACAACTTTTTTTAAATTTTTGCCAATTCTATTATTTCAGGATCTGTTTCCATTAACTGACTTTATTCTTGGTTATAAATTATATTTTCCTGGTTCTTGGCATGTCCAGTAATGTTTGACTGGATGTTTGACATTGTGAATATTATATCGATGGACTAGATTTTATTATATTTCTATAAAGATTATTGAATTTTGTCCTGCTAGTTCAAGGGTCAACGGATAGTACTGTTGGCCAAATTCAGCCCATCACCTCTTTTTTTTTTCAGCCCATGAATGGAGTTTTTTTTTTGTTGTTGTTTTTAATTTTTAAAGCATTGTTTTAAAAAAGAAGAATATGTAGCAGAAACTGTGTATGTCACAGAAAGTCTAAAATATTTACTACCTAGTCGTCTATAGAAAGTGTGCTAGTGTGCTAATCCCTCTGCCTGTGTAGTTAAAGTACTTAAATTTGAATTGCTCCTTTCACAAATCATTTTTAAGACCTGTAAGCTGGCTGGACAGGATAGCTCATGTCTAATCCTAGCACTTTTGAATGCCAAGGCAGGAGGATTGCTTGAACTTAGGAGTTCAAAACTAGCCTGAGCAAGAGCAACACCCTGTCTCTACTAAAAAACAGAAAAATTAGTTAATCATGGTGACATGTGCTTGTAGGCCCAGCAACTCAGGAGGCTGAGGCAAGATGATCACTTGAACCCAGGAGTTTGAGACTGTAATGAGTTATGATGTTGCTACTGTACTCTACCTAAGGTAACAGAGTAAGACTCTGTCTAAAAAAAAGGTCTGTTAGCCAGTATAGTGGTATACACCTTTAGTCTTAGCTAATTGGGAAGCTGAAGCTGAGGTGAGAGGATTGCTTCAACCCAGGAATTTGAGTTTACAGTGAGGTATGAGGTACAGTGAGGTATGAAGTACAGTCAGGTACCACTGCATCCTACCCTGGATGACAGAGTAAGATTTTGTCTCTAAAAACAGAAAAAAAGGTTTGTTAGGTTTTTAGGGCTGATCTAGAATTATCCTTATTCAATGCATAGTCTAACCCCACTGGAAGCCACCGTTCTGGAGCCTTTACTGAAGGCCCCAAGTGATCACCAAGGACTTTCTACTGTGGCTGTTGGGAACTTGAACGATTCCCAACCTTGCGTGAACTCTGGTAGCTGTCTGACGTACAGTTCTCCAATTGTTCTTTCCTTGGCCTCATGCATGCACACCACAGTATTCAGCAAAAACTCAAAGGTATGGTTAGGCAGCTTTCCAGACTCCTTCCCTGAATAGTTCTCTCCTTATTGGAACTCCACAACTTCCAGCAGCCTTTTCTTTGAACTCTTTTTCCTGTCTTCACAACTCAGCATCACTGTGTTGTTCTGCTTTCAGTCACTTCCCTGTTCCACGGTGTAGAACATCTCTCTAAGAAGAAAAGCCAAGAGACTGGGCATGGTGGCTCACACCTGTAATCCTAGCACCCTGGAAAGCAAGTGGATTGCTTGAGCTCAGGAGTTCGAGATTAGCCTGAGCAAGAGCAAGACCTCCCCTATAGTAAAAATAGAAAAACTAGCAGGGTGTGGTGGCAGGTGCCTGCAGTCCTAGCTACTCAGGAGTCTGAAGCAAGAGGATCACTTGAGCCCAAGAGTTAGAGGTTACTGTGACCCTTGATGCCATGGCACTCTACCCCAGGATGACTAAGACTCTGTGACAGAGAGAAGAAGAAGAGGAAGAGGAGGCATCAGAAGAGGAAGAAAAGGAAAAAGAGGAAGAGGAAGAAGAAAGAAATCTGAGAGAATAAAAGAGTTCACTTTGTTTCCTTTCTCTCAAAGATCACACTCCCGAACCATCTATTGTCTGAAAATGGGTTTTCATGAATTTTACCCATTTTAATTGATTGTGGTGGGAGGGTAAATTTGGCCTTTATAACTAACTAACTACATCCTGGTTAAAAGCAGAAGATAGTGGAAATTCTCATACGTGTCATAATTTTGTTAGTTCAAACATGCAGACACACAGACATTTGTGTATTTTTCCTAACTCTAACTTCCAGAGACCTTTATATATTGTTAAAACCTCATCATTCCCTACAAGACAGTTGTGTGTATATATATTACATATGGGTGTATGTCTTCTCCTGTCACGAGACATAAGTTCCTTGATAAGTTCCAAAATAATGCCTTATTCATTATCTTATCAGAGGTAGCCTCCCTTTTCAGGGTAAACTGAGGAATAAACAACTTTGCATCTGGAAACACCTGCCTTTTTGTACTCCACAGACTGGCTCCCTGATGAGCAATAGAAATATTTAAATACCATATGTGGGGTTACTGTTTTATCTGCCATGCTTGGAAGCCTATGCTTACATACCACTTACCCCACTGAATACATATAATTATCTGCTTATATGTTAGAGTGTCCCACTAGACTGTGAACTTCTTGAGGTCAAAAAAATGTCCTATTTTGTTCTGTATCTCCAGGACTCAGAGCCTGGCAGATGGTAGACTCTCAGTAAATGTCTCAGTAATGTGAGTTAAGCTGAATTGAATTAAACTAAATTGAATGAAAGCCTATATCAGGGGTCCTCAAACTTTTTAAACAGGGGGCCAGTTTACTGTCCCTCAGACCGTTGGAGGGCTGGACTGTAGGACCCGGGACAAGTTGGCTGCTAAGCAGGATAGGCAGTGGCAGCAAAAAAACGGTGGGCCAGATAAATGTCCTAGGCGGGCTACATGTGGCCTGCAGGCCATACTTTGAGGACGCCTGGCTTATATTATTCAAGGTTCCCCAGAGAAATAAAGCAAAAAGGGAGAGGCGTTGATTGATTGAAAGGAATTAACTCATGTGATCATGCTAGGCTGGCAGGCTAAAGTCCCAGGAAAGAATTCATGTTGCAGGTCAAGTCCAAAAGCAGTTTGCTAACAAAAGTTCCACTTTCTCAAATGAAATCAGGCTTTTTTTTTTTTTTCTCTTAAGCCATTCAACTGATAGATAAGCCCCACTCACTTTATGGAGGAGGATAATCTGCTTACTTAAAGTCTACTGATTTAAATATTAATCTTATTTTAAAAATATCATTACAACAACATGTATTTAACCAAATATCTGGTATTATGGCATTATGGCCTCACGGGCCATCTTTAGCTCATCTGTATAACACTGTGACAGATGAAAAACAATACCTAAGTATAGTTACAATTTGTATTTTTATGAGTATTAGGGTATAGACTAAGCTGCTGTTACAGCTAAAATATAGTGACTTAAATAAAAGTTAATGTCTCTCTCTCCTAACATCCTAGGGGCAAATGATTAAGAGTTAACAAGACAGCTCAGAAACTCAGGTTCTTTCTGTCATGCTTACAGTGTGGTTTTCTTTTCTTTTTTCTTTTTTTTTTTAGAGATAGAGTCTCACTCTGTTGCCCCTAGTAGAGTGCTGTGACATCACAGTTCACAGCAACCTCCAGCTATTGGGCTTAGGTGATTCCCATGCCTCAGCCTCCCAAGTAGCTAGGGCTACAGGTGCCCACCATAATGCCCGGCTATTTTTTTGTTGCGGTTTGGCCAGGGCTGGGTTCAAACCCGCCACCCTCGGTATATGGGGCTGGCGTGCTACTCACTGAGCCACAGGTGCCGCCCATCAGCGAATTTGAAGCTGGTTTGTAAGCACTGTTGAAGAGGGAGAGAAAGTCGAGAAGGCAAACAGCTTCCTTATAAAAACACGATCTGGAAGTTCTATATGTAATTTCTACTTGCATCTCTGATCAAAACTTAGTCACATGACCACATCAGCTACAAGAAATGTTAGGAACACTTGCCATTCTATTACCAAAAAGAGACCAAGAAATGAGATAATTCACTATTTCTGCTATACCGAATGAGGGAGAGCATATTTTAATGTGTTAAGATCCATTTCTATTTCATGTTCCTTTCCATTGCCCATTTTACTGTTGTTAGTCTAGTCCTATCAATTTATAGATACTTTTTAAGGGAATATGATTTTTTATAAAATAAATATGTTTATTATGGTAATAAAAGAAAAATTAGTACTTTGTCTATGATATGCTGCATGCTTTTCTTGACGATTAGACTCAAATTGTATTCTTTGTTATTTTTAAAATAATAATGAAAGCTGTTAAATGAGATAAAAATTATTCTAAAGATCATATCTTCTCCCTTCAACAGATTACACCAGCCATAACAAATTATGTAACTGACAAATTAGGGAAAAAGTTTGTAGAGCCTCCACCATTTGATTTGGCAAAGAGTTACCTGGATTCAAATTGCACCATTCCCTTAATTTTCGTGCTATCTCCCGGAGCAGATCCTATGGCCAGTAAGTGAATACACTGTAAAATTTTAAGAAATTATAAATAAAACATCTTGCTCAATACTCATTTCTTACATGATTATAAGTCAGGTAGTAAATAAAGTATTTATAGGGAAAGGTAGCTAGAAATGTCCTTTATAACACACCTATACATAAGGCATATTTTATGATTTTAGAGTTAGTAGGTATGACCATATTTTTGTTTCCTTCATAGGTCTGCTGAAATTTGCAAATGATAAATCTATGTCTGGAAATAAGTTTCAAGCTATTTCACTGGGGCAGGGACAAGGACCAGTTGCAACAAAAATGATTAAAGCAGCAGCAGAAGAAGGAACTTGGGTTTGTCTACAGAATTGTCACCTTGCAGTCTCCTGGATGCCCATGTTAGAAAAAATATGTGAAGATTTTAATTCTGAAACCTGTGACCCTTCCTTTAGGCTTTGGCTCACAAGCTATCCATCTCCAAAAGTATGTTTGTTTCCTGTAGAGTTCAGTACATTTTTTTAGTTATCTGTTACATTGTATATCTTTTTTGAGGGGCAAACAACTCATTTATTAAAATCTTTTCAAGTCATACTTTTTTAAAACTTTAGATTAAATCGTTGGAAAACGATTAGGTTACATTGTTTGCATTTGTTAGGTAACGTCCCTGTTGTAGTTGTCCCCCCTCACCCAGGAGGTGAGCAATGTACCAGAACATTGTGCCTGTTAGGTGAGAGCGCACCATTTCCCCTCTCTCTTCCCCTCAGCCCCTTCCTCCTCTCTCCCTCCCTGAATTGTATCACTTAATCAAGCTTTAGATGCTTAACCAGAAGAGGTTTTTAAATATTTCCAGGCTGGGCGTGGTGGCTCATGCCTGTAATCCTAGCCCTCTGTGAGGCTGGGGTGGGTGGATTGCCTGAACTCAGGGGTTCAAGACCAGCCTGAGCAAGAGTGAGACCCCCATCTCTAAAAATAGCTAGGCATTGTGGTGGGCGCCTATAGTACCAGCTACTTGGGAGACTGAGGCAAGAGAATTGCTTGAGCCCAAGAGTTGGAGGTTGCTGTGAGCTGTGATGCAATGGCACTCTACTAAAGGCGACAAAGTGAGAACTGTCTCAGTAAATAAACAAATAAATATTTCTATATTTCTGCAGTATACCTATTTTTTCAATCCACTAGTGAATGAGATTTAGAGCCTAAGCTTGTTACCTTGTCTAATGCTCTGTATTCATTTTGTTTTAGTTCCCAGTAACGATTCTACAGAATGGAGTAAAAATGACCAATGAACCTCCCACGGGTCTTCGGCTAAATCTCCTTCAATCATATCTCACTGATCCAATTTCTGATACTGAGTTTTTCAAGGGATGTCAAGGAAAGGAACTGGTAATGTTCATCTTGTGGAACTTTCAGAATGTGTTTTTGTAGAGATAAAATGTGAAAATATAAAAATTTTATTTAACATTTTTAAACTTTAAGCATTTCCTGTAAGACAGATGTTATACTTACCTTGCTTATCATTTTATTCCCAGTACTTTGTGTTCTGCTTCCCACATAGTAGACATTAAATATTTGTTGAATGAATGAATGAATGTATCTTACTTTGCAAACCAAAGTCCCATGCTATTTTTGATTTAAAAATGTATTTATTTTGTTTTAGTTCCCAGTAACGATTCTACAGAATGGAGTAAAAATGACCAGTGAACCTCCCACAGGTCTTTGGCTAAATTGATCTGATGCACATTGAGACCCCATGTCATAGGCCATTTAAACTCTTTTTTTGTTTTAATTTATTTTTTATTTTATTTTTTTTTTTCTTTTTGTAGAGACAGAGTCTCACGTTATCACCCTTGTTAGAGTGCCGTGGCGTCACACTGCTCACAACAACCTCCAACTCCTGGGCTTAGGCGATTCTCTTGCCTCAGACTCCCAAGTAGCTGGGACTACAGGAGCTGCCACAATGCCTGGCTATTTTTTTGTTACAGTTTGATCAGGGCCAGGTTTGAACCCGCCACCCTCAGTATATGGGGCCCGTGCCTTACTCACTGAGCCACAGGCGCCACCCGGCCATTTAAACTCTTTTTCTTCAATGCTATTTTCGATTAAAGCTCAAGAGTAGAGATCTATTTTCACATAATTTATTTATTCTTTCAAGAAATACGTGTGCTAGGCACTCTCCTAGATGCTAGATATAAAGGCAATGAGAACAAAATAGACATGCAAAGAAATCTGCCTTCATGGAACTTAAATTCTAGAAACAATGTTTTAACATATTAATAATAATTCTTGTTAAATCCATCTGTAAGTTTTATACAGGGTACTGAGGAGTTTAGGGGTCCCAATAAATAGCACTCATTTCCCTGCCTGAATTCCTACTAAGTGAGAAACAGGAAAAAACCTAAACATACAGGAATCAAGCTAGAACCTTAATTATTGATATAAGCTAGGTTGGAAGATAGAGCTTATATCTGTAAACAAAGTAGTTGCATATTACTGAACCCCAAGATTAAGAAAATTTATCCACCCAGAGAAATAAAGGAAAACTCAGTTCCCCGAGGGAAGCTCACCTCTAAGAAAAAAGACAGAAGCTGAGCCAAGCATATCTGGTTAATTTTCTCCAAATTTTTCAATCAGATAGGTCCCTCCCTTCTCTTGCAGTGAGTGAGTACAAGGATAGAGAAAAATCAAGTGTATTATATTAATTGAGGCCTCCCCACATGAAGGAAATAGTATTGAGAGAAAATCATCCCCCTGCCCTCACCTCAACATATACTACTTACCATATATGCCTATTTGAGTTTGAAAAAGAATGGTATTAAATGTGAAATAATCATTTGAAATAATCATTTGAAAATTAGCTAGTTTCTCTCTGCTGAATGATACTTCTGTGCTCCCTTAGTTCTGTATAATAAGTGCATTGTAACTCTGGGAGAAAGGTAATATTCAGTGGTATTGGCTAGAAAAAGAGCTTAGCAGCATGGAATCAGTGGTATGGTCTCTGATCTGCATGCTGAGTTTGAGCCCCTGCAATTAGAGGAGAGAAAGCCAGAACAGAAAAGGGAAACTCTGAAAGATTCTAAGCACAAGCAAAACTAATGTGGGGCTCAGATGACTCAAATCAAAATGGTGCTGAGTTGGAGAAGACGCACTCTCACTCCTGTATTACAACACTGAGTAAGCAACATTGGCACCCTACGTACTGGGATTTGTGGGACATCTGAAGTTAGCACCCTGGCCATGTATCGTCATCTTTATGATGAACAGTGGCAATGAGTAAGGCTTCACTAAGCATCTTCTCTGGTAGTGCAAACAAATGGAAGCTGGGATATGAGAAAAGAGTTTAAATGGCCTATGACGTGGGGTCTCAGTGTGCATCAGATTCTCTTGGAGGGCTTGTTTAAACACATCTTGCTGGGCCTCATCCCCAGAGTTTCTAATTCGTAGGTCTGGGATGGGGATTTATACTTCTGATGAATTCCCAGTGATACCGATACTGCTGGTCCTGGAGTCACACTTTGAAAACCATTGCCTTAGGGTGTCTGCAGGTTAACTGAATTATAGATATGTAAGAAACTGGAGGCTCCCAGAAATAGGCAAATAGGAAAATAAGGCTAATATTAACAATTAGGTCAGCAGTAATTTGAACTGTTTTTGTTTGGCTATTAAAAGCAAATATGATCTTTATAGTTACAAGTTACTGATATCGTGGACATTTGAATTATCTAACAAAGATATTAGTTATTTGTCAGTGTGTATATCTACCTTCTATATTCCTTAAAGTCAGGAATACATTTCTGTATCTCTTTTAATTAATTAATTCAGTAAATATTTATTGAACACCTACTAGGTGCAAGGCACTCTTCTAGAACCTGGTAATATGGCAATGAACATATAAACATATCAAAACATAAAAATCCCTGTTTTCATGGAGCATACATTTTAGTTGAAGGAAACCTATGGAAAGCAAGGTCAGTCATAATCCCCACCAACCAGGGGAACTCATTAGAGCTACAGATGTCAAGACCCCACTCCTAGGATTCTGATTCACTAAATTTGAAGTGGGGGCTCGAAAACTGGTATAAATACAGCAATCATACACCATGACCAAGTAAAGTGTATCCCTGGAGGCAAAGATTATTCTACTTATAACAATCAATTAATGTGATACACATTAACAGAATGAAGGACAATAATCATCTCAATAGATGCAGAAAAAGCATATTTTCAAAAATTCAATATTCATTCATACTAAAAACTCTCAACAAAGTAGTAGAATAAAATTACCTCAACATAATAAAAGCCAATATGAAAAGCCCACAGCTAATATACTCAATGGTGAAAAACTGAAAGCATTTTCTCTGTGAGCAGGAACAAGGCAAGGATGACCACTCCTTTCCTTTCTATTCAACTAGGATGGAAGTCTTAGCTGGAACAATTAGGCAAGAAAAAGAAGCAAAAGGCATCTAAATCAGAACAGAAGAAGAAAATTCCCTGTTTGCAGATGTAAATTAAGTAATTGCTTTCATTACCAAAGGGCTCTTCCCCTGTTAAATATTTCATCATAGCATTCATCTAGACATTTAAAATATGAACATATCTATTCAGTGAAGCATAGTATACTTACATTTTAATATTAAAGAAATAGTTTCTACTGTTGTAGCACATGAAAATAGCTAGCTGGATTTTTGCTATATTTTCACTGGATTTGGAGCTATGTTTGAAATGGTCTAAATTAAAATACATGCCATGTATCCTACATGAAATCTACGTGGGGAGACCTTAAAGAAATGAGTGGCCATTCTTCACAGCACTGACACAAGTTTAGTGAGAGGCCAATATGGCATACATATCACACACACAAAGATGCTACAATGATTTCAAAAATGATTTCTGGCTGGACATAGTGGTTTTCACTTGTAATTCTACAAATTTGGGAAGTCAAGGCAGGAGGATCACTTGAGTTCAGGAATTTGAGACCAGCCTGAACAGGAGCAAGACCCCATCTGTACAAAAATAGAAAAATTAGCTGGGTATGGTGGCACATGGCAGTAGTTCCAGCTACTCACAGGCTAGAGCAGCAGGATTGCTTTAGCCCACAAGTTTGAAGTTGCTGTGAGCTACAATGATGCCACTACATTGTAGGCTGGGTGACAGAATGAGACTCTGTCTTAAAAAAAAAAATTCCAAATTGAATGGACAAGTCACAAAGTCAGAGATTTTGTATTGTGATTTATTCATATCAGAAGGATTAATCATTCCTATAGGTACTTGTAGTCACAGGTATATCCCAGGAAGTCTACAGAATAACTTTCAAATATTGAGCTGTAAACATCTACAAGTAATACCAAAGTATTACTAACCAATAGTTTGGTAAAATGGTAACATTTTTGCATTTTAATAAAGTTTAGCATTATTGTGGTTTAGAAATAAGAATTAAGCCATAAGTCATAAGATGAATACTTTTTACAGTTAAGTGTTATTTTAGATAGCATCTTTTTAAAATAGAACTTTGCAGAGATAGATTCATAGAATTTCATAATGGAAAACAATCATTCCCTTCATTTTACTAATATAAATCTGATCCAAATTTTTTCTTGTATAATTTTTATATTAAAGGCATGGGAGAAGTTGTTGTTTGGAGTTTGTTTTTTTCATGCCCTTGTGCAGGAGAGAAAGAAATTTGGTCCTCTTGGTTGGAATATTCCATATGGATTTAATGAATCAGACTTGCGTATCAGTATCCGACAACTACAGGTAAAATTAGAAAGAAATTAACATCTATGAAGGATAACTATTTACCTAGGCAAGTCTTTTTGCTTAGAATAACTGATTCAGTTCTCCTAACACCACTAATAGGTGGCTAGATAGTAGTAACTGTGGCTATGAAGCCCTATCTCAATCTAGATTTCACTGCAAATAATGAAAAAGTTGATTCAAACTGGGTTTATACACAATGAAACTTACTATCTCACATAAAAAAGACATGCAAAGGAAAGACAAACTCTGGGGCTGACTGATTCAGCAACACACACTGGTGTTGTCATCAAGGACCCTGGTTTGTTCTGTGTTTTTGTACTGTCATCCTCCACATTAGCCCTATATAGGTCCTGACTATCCTCTACTTTCCTCTTCCTTTTAGTTCTCAGTTTAGCTCTATTAATTGACAGAAATAGCCTATCTACTTTAAACAGAAAAGTAATTTATTGAAAAGATAGTGGGTTGCTCAAAGAATCACCAAGATGTCTGGAGAGCCAAGCTTAGAGAAAAGATATCTAGAGTCATATATAGAATCACACCATGTCTGGTAAGAGCAACATCTCTGCCTTTGTTGAATATTAGACACTGCAGCTTCATAGCTGCCAGGTAGACTAGTTTACTGTAGGCCCTCCGATGCCATGACCACATTCAAAGGGATTCTTGGCTCTTTCTGCTCCTTGGTATCCTAAGTCTAAAGTGGATGCAGTTTAGCAGCCGAGCCCAGGTCACAAGTGTAGGTTTTAACTGGAAAGGAGCTTGGGAAAGTGGGTGGTTGGCTTTTAACACAACCATAGAATATTAATATTTTTCTGTTTCTTTGCTGTTCTGAAGGGCTTTTGTGAGATGGGGCCTCATGAAAGGAAAAGGGAAGCATTGATAAAGCCCATTTATATGCTATTAGATTTTAGTCAGGTTGATTTTTATAAGGCTATAATTATTTTACTATATTTATATTAAACTTTGAAATAAAAAAACAGATGATTTTCATAGAAAATATTTATTGATATTTTATCAACTCTTTTAAAATATTAGAGTACAAACCTTACCTGGAATAAATATGTCAATTTGAAAATCCTTTTAACAATTGTTAAAATTATGTTATGGAATTATAAATGCATGGTGAAATGACATTGATTTTTAAACATTGGTTTTTGAGACCAATTTAGTTGGTATGGCCTAAGCTTAGAGAATATTTTGCTAAAACCATCATACTGCAGATAATCAATTGATTGAGAATTTTCCATCTTCTTACTGGGCCCCAGCCTGAAGCCTTTAGAGTCATAAACCTTTTCAACCCCAAGTTTGGAAACTGCAAGCATTAGGTGGATCCATCTTTCACATCTTCAGGGACTAGAAATAGGAAGATCAATCTTTAAATCATCTTCCCCTGGTCATCAGCATGATACCTCTCTACAAATGACAAATAAGAAAACCAATGGCTAAGTGGATAGAAAACCAGAAATGAGTTCTTGGTCTCCACTTCTTACATAAGCTACAAATTTAACATTACATTTTCTTGGGGTCTCTTCCTTCAGTTTTAGGAAACTCTTTCTCCGTCCCCTCTCATATCTCTTGCCGTTCTTCCTAATGAAAACATGGGAGTCTCCAACAAAGAATTATGCCTTCTTTTAACTTGGCTCTGTAGAATTTAGAAATATTTTTTCTCATTTGGTATACCATTTCTTTTTTTTTTTCTTGGCCCTTCTCATTTGCTGAAATGTGCACCATTTTTGCTATGATTCCTGCACTATTAGGATAGGAAAAGCCCTCAACCTATAACTTGTATCATCCCAATATGCTTACTACCAAAACTTCCTATATTTTAGAAATGTATGGGATCTGGAACTGGAAGAAATAAATTTAGGCCTTCATCTTACTTAACATTTATAGATTCCATTTCTTACTCTACAGAGTTATTGGAAGATGAATAAGACAATGTAAATGTTATGTAAATAGCTCTTATTACTATTATGACTATAATAACAAGGAAATTGGAAATGATATTTATTTTCTACCAGTGGAACTGTGTCATAGTTTGCAATAAAATTTGAAATTGTTTTGCTTTTATCCATTGTGAAAGCTGCATCTGGTTCTCAGCCTTGATACTACTGGCATTTTGGGCCAGATATTTCTTTCCTGCAGGCAGCTGTCCTATTCATTGTTTAGCAGACTCTACCCAATAGATGCCAGTAGCACCCCACCCCCAACCACTGTTGTGACTAAATTATCCCCAGATATTGCCACAAATACCCTAGAGAACAAAATGCCAGTTGAGAGCCATAACCATAAAACAAGGTTTACCCAAATTCATCTGAAAAAGAATTGATAGTTTCTGTGTCATCTTTTCTATATTAAATGTTTTTCTCATTATAGAAGCAATATATATTCATTTCCAGAAAAAAAAAAAAACTGGAGATGCAGATAAGCAAAGTAATTTAAAATAAAAACACTAAAAATAAATAAATAAAATAAAAATACTAGCAATCCCAGTCATTCAAAGTCAGCCCATGAATTCTTTCAACCCTTCTCCAAAATATATAGATAAATAATTTAATGTCATGTTAAAATGGAAATGAAAGGAAAGACTTTAAGTTTTTTCTTGTTTCATTTTTCCTTTGTTTCAGTTATTTATAAATGAGTACGATACAATTCCATTTGAAGCTATATCTTACCTGACTGGGGAGTGTAATTATGGAGGAAGAGTGACAGATGATTGGGACAGACGTCTCCTATTGACTATGCTGGCTGACTTTTATAATGCACACATAATTGAAAACCCTCATTATAAGTTTTCTCCCAGTGGAAACTATTTTGCACCTCCCAAAGGCACTTATGAGGACTACATTGAATTCATTAAGGTAATGGATATCACTAGAAATGGGGTTATAATGTGATTTTTCTAAAAACAAATATAGGCCGGGCATGGTTTCTCACACCTATAATCCTAGCACTCTGAGAGGCTGAGGTGGGTGGATTGCTTGAGCTCACCAGTTCAAGACAAGCCTGAAAAAGAGCAAGACCCTATCTCTACTAAAAATAGAAAAGCAAGCTGGGCATTGTGGTGGGCGCCTATAGTCCTAGCTACTCAGGAGTCTGAGGCAAGAGGATCCCTTGAGCCTTGTGTAGGTTCAAACAAGTATAAATGGTTTCAGGCCACATGCAGTGGCTCGCTCCTATAATTGTAGCACTCTGGGAGGCTGGGATGGGTAAATTACCTGAGCTCAGAAGTTAAAGACCAGCCTTGAGCAAGAGCAAGACCTCACCTCTAAAAAAATAGTTAGGTGTTGTGGCAGGCGCCTGTAGTCCTAGCTACTTGGGAGGCTGAGGCAAGAGAATTGCTTAAGCCCAAGAGTTTGAGGTTGCTGTGAGCTATAATGCCATGGCACTCAACCCCAGGGCAACTGGGTAAGACTCTGTACCCCCCACCAAAAAGTATTATAGTTTCAATCAACGTTCAATATCTGTGATTACTGAAAATTGGAGAAGTTTGAGTCTTCTGTTATTTAATATTTAGCTGACTTTTTTTTTTTTTTTTTTTTTGAGACAGCCTCAAGCTGTCCCCCTGGGTAGAGTGCCGTGGTATTACAGCTGACAGCAACCTCCAACTCCTGGGCTCAAGCGAGTCTCCTGCCTCCACCTCCCAAGTAGCTGGGACCACAGGCGCCCGCCACAACGCCCGGCTATTTTTTGGTTGCAGCCATCATTGTTGTTTGGCGGGTCCGGGCTGGGGATTCCAACCTGCCACCTTAGGTGTACGTGGCTGGTGCCTTAGCCGGTTGAGCTATAGGCGCCGAGGCTATTTAGCTGACCATTAACCCTTTCTTGTTCTGCACATCTCTGCCTTATGAATATATAAATTATATAAATAAATATAATTATATATAACTTATAATTATGTTTATATAAATATATAACTTATTATAATATATATTATAATATATAATTTATAATTATATATAAATTATATTATACGAGAGGATAAACCTTTGCCATATCCTCTTATGTTCAGTGACCAGGGCCTTCCAATTAAACTGACAGGAAACAGATTAGCAGGAGAAAAAGCATACAATTTGTATTGATATTACCATTTTTATGTGTGCTGGGGATTTGGAGAAAAGGAATGAAAAACCAAAAGAAGCAGTTTTACATGGGCATTTACCATTTTAACAAAGAGTGATAAATTGTGGAGAAGTTACTAGAACAAATACACTTACTCCCACTTACTATGGTTCTAGGGATGGTAAAGGGTAATAAATTGTAGGAAAATGATAAGAAAATATATGGGGGAAACAAATGGAAGATAAAGGTTATTTTAGTAAGGTCTGTTTATGTAGACTCATCTCAGTGGCAGCTCTGTCTTTGGCAATAAGGGTCACTCTCCTCATCTTAGTATAGGAGAAGGGGACATTTTTCCACAGTCTCAAATAAAAATTTATGTCCTTCTTTTAGGCCGATAAGGGGAGGGCATAGAACTCTGTATTTGTTGACTTAATTGCTTCTAGCTCAGAATAATCCTTATGCTAACGTGGCATATTTGGGGAAGACATATCCTAATCCCCTTCAATATTCAATGAAAATGTCATGCATGCCTAATCTACTTTCTGGTAGAAACTTCCATTTACTCAAGATCCTGAGATATTTGGATTGCATGATAATGTGGACATCTCCAAAGATCTTCAACAAACAAAAGTCCTTTTTGAGTCATTGCTGCTTACCCAGGGAGGCCCCAAACAGACAGGAGCGTCAGGAAGTACTGACCAGATTTTATTAGAAATTACCAAAGATATTCTCAACAAGGTAATGTTTAGTTTAAAATATGTTGCTTATAATATAATATCAATAAAAATGGTACTGAGACAACAATTTGAAAACCTCGTATACCAGCATTATAACCTTAAGATTCTTTGCCTCTCTAAGCATTAGTCTCCAAATATGTTAAGTGGTAATGATAGAATCAATTGTAAAAGGTTTGTGAGAACATTAAAGAGATCATGAACTTAAAGTGGTTTGCAAAATGTCTAGCACATAGTAAGTTCTTAGTAACTATAGTTATGAAGGAGCTAATATATATATAACTTATTATTAATTCTAAACAAGAAAAGGTAAAATACCTACTTTTAAAAAATGGAGGAAATGTTCTGAACTTGCTGGTTCAGGGAGGGAATGGTTTTCTTTCCTTTTTTTTTTTTTTTTTTTTTGGAGACAGAATCTCAAGCTGTTGCCCTTAGTAGAATGCCATGGCGTCACAGCTCACAGCAACCTCAAACTCTTGCACTTACGTGATTATCTTGCCTCAGCCTCCCAAGTACTGGGACTACAGGAGCCCACCACAATGCTTGGCTATTTTTAAGTTGTAGTTGTCATTGTGGTTTGGAAGGCCTAGGCTGGATTCGAACCCGCCAGCTCTGGTGTATGTGGCTGGTGCCCTAGCTGCTTGAGCTATAGGCGCCAAGCGAGGAAAAGGTTTTCCTTCTATACCTGAGGAATTGAGGAGGCACAGGTATATCAGGTCTAACAATTAAGTTCATTAACTTGCCACTATGTGCTTAACGTTGGCAGCACTGTACAAACATCTTGGTAATGGTTTCCTAACTTTAGTGTACCAAGGTTTCACAGTTGCGTTTGTGTAGGTGTGTGGTGGTGTCTTGATGAATGGCATTCATTATTATTGTTGAGTGTTTTTGTGTGCCATCACAAGAATGTTGGTGTTTGAATTCAAGCAGTGAATTCAACAACAAGTTAAATTTCTTGTTATACTTGGCAAAAGTGAAAGTGAAATCAGGGACTTGTTACTGTAAGTTATGGGGATAAGGTCAAAGAAAACAGCAGTGTATAAATGGATTAAATGTTTTTCTGAGAGGAGAGAAAGCACCACTGATGAAGAGTGGTCAGGATAGCTAGTAATAAGCAGAACTGACAAAAACGTTGCAAATATTCCTCAAATTGTGTGTCAAGATCATTGGCTGACTGTGAGAAGCATAGCAGACCAAGTAAACATTGACAGAGAAACGGAAAATCTTAACGGAAGATCTTGGCATGAGAAAGGTGTGTGCCAAATGGTCCCAAAGGAGCTCACTGATGAACAAAAGCAAAGAAGAGTCAAAGTTTGCCAAGACCTTTTGGAGAGGCAAGATGATGTTTTGGGCTATGTTATTTCTGGTGATGAAAACTGGGTCTACCAATACAATCCTGAAACAAAACATCACAGTGCATAATGAAGTCAGTCAATTCTCCACAACCAAAAAACTTCCGTCAGTCCATATGAAGAGTCAAAACAAGGTTGCTTACCTTTTTTGCTATCAGAGGGATTCTTCATTATGAATTTATACCAAATGGACAGTTAACCAAGTTCACTAATTGGTAGTGCTGAAAAGTCTGTGTTAAAAAATTAGATGAAAATGACCTGAACTTTTCACCAACTCATGGTTCTTGCTTCACAACAATATACCACCTCACATGGCACTGTCTGTGAAGGAGTTTTTAGCCAGTAAACAAATAACTGTATTGGCACACCCTCCCTACTCACCTGATCTGTCCCCCAAGGACTTTTTTCTTTACCCCCAAATAAAGGAAATATTGAGAGGAAGACATTTTGATGACACTCAGGGCACCAAGGGTGATATAATGACAGCACTGATGGCCATTCCAGAAAAAGAGTTCTAAAATTGCTTTAAAAAAAAAAAAAAGTAAAAAAAAATTGCTTTCAAGGGTGGACTAGGTGCTAGCATTGGTGCATAGCTTCCCAAGGCAAGTCCTTCAGAGGTTACTGTAGTGATGTTCAATAATGAGGTGTGGGCTCGGCGCCTATAGCTCAACCGGCTAAGGCGCCAGCCACGTACACCTAAGGTGGCGGGTTCGGATCCCCAGCCCCGCCCCGCCAAACAACAATGACGGCTGCAACCAAAAAATAGCCGGGCGTTGTGGCGGGCGCCTGTGGTCCCAGCTACTTGGGAGGCGGAGGCAAGAGACTCGCTTGAGCCCAGGAGTTGGAGGTTGCTGTGAGCTGTAATGCCATGGCACTCTACCCAGGGGGAAAGCTTGAGGCTCTGTCTCAAAAAAAAAAAAAAAATAATAATGAGGTGTGTAGCACACTTTTTCTAGGATGTTCAGGAACTTAATTGTCAGGCCGCATAGATTAGGCCTAGACACAGAGAAGATGTGCACAAAGCCAGTTTCTATACCTTTTTCTTTTCATAATACAATTATGGACTTAGCCCTTCTAAGTAAAGTGGAATGGTGCTCTCTGTTTTCACTAAGGGAACTTTAAAAGATTATATTTCCTAAACACAGATCTTCACGACTCTCCTCCAAGGTAAGTACTATACTTATCCTCAGATTTCAGTGTCAAGCCCTCTGAAAGAACAGAACCTAGGGGTGGCGCCTGTGGCTCAGTGAGTAGGGCGCTGGTCTCATATATACTGAGGGTGGCAGGTTCAAACCTGGCCCCAGCCAAACTGCAAGAAAAATGGCCAGGCATTGTGGTGGGTGCCTATAGTCCCAGCTACATGGGAGACTGAGGCAAGAGAATCACCTAAGCCCAAGAGCTAGAGGTTACTGTGAGCTGTGATACCATAGCGCTCTACAGAGGGTGACAAAGTGAGACTCTATCTCAGAAAAAAAAAGAAAGAAAGAAAGAAAGAAAGAAAGCAGAACCTGGCCCTAGTCTACATGCCTTCAAAACCATGGCTGCAGGACTAGTTTACTCTCATACCATTCCCTAAAGTCAGCCTACTTACCAAAGGTCTGTCTGTGGCCACTGGAGAAGGCAGGGAACAAGCATGACCTAAGCCCCAGTGCCCACTGCTGCTTCTGCCTCGTGCTTCTTCTCACCCAGGCTCACTGCTTCTGTGCTTTATCACTGTGGGGTAAGATTCTGTCCCTCACAGACTGGTGGCTCTTACAAAACCCCAACAAGGTAAGTGGCAGAGGAATTTGAGACATATTTGCAGTAAGAGTTGTCCAAGACAAGGGACCCTACTATACCACCTGGTATGACTTATAAGAATTCATTTGCGGCTCCGCGCCTATAGCTCAACCGGCTAAGGCGCCAGCCACGTACACCTAAGGTGGCGGGTTCAAATCCCCAGCCCAGACTCGCCAAACAACAATGATGGCTGCAACCAAAGAATAGCCGGGCGTTGTGGCAGGCGCCTGTAGTCCCAGCTACTTGGGAGGCAGAGGCAGGAGACTCGCTTGAGCCCAGGAGTTGGAGGTTGCTGTGAGCTGTAATGCCACGACACTCTACCCAGGGGGACAGCTTGAGGCTCTGTCTCAAAAAAAAAAAAAAAAGAATTCATTTGCAATCAGATACTCGACAGCCTTCTCTCCCCTTTTGTCCTGGAACCCTGCTACATTTGCACAGACTAATTATTTGATAGTGAAGTAAGCTAAACTATTTGGAGCCACTTGATAATTGGTTAGAAATAAATATAAAAGAGTTACAAAGTGGCAAATCAGTTTTATGAATGGAATATAAGATTCAACTTACTATAAAAAAAAATCAGACAACTTTTCAGAAATATATATCTTTGGCAGAGTACTAATAGTTAAGAATATGGGGCTTAGAGAGGCTTGTGGATTAAACAGACCCCTTTTTGGCTATGTTCCCTTGAACCAGTTACTTAAACGCTCTGTACTTATCTGTCCTCACCTATAAAATGAAAGGAGTAATAAACACCTCAAATTTTATGGAAAGGATTAAATGAGATAATATGTGGAAAACAGCACAATGCCTGGCATATAGTAATACCTGAGTGTTAGCTATTATTGACATTATAGATAAATGAAGCTAATTATTTATTCTGAGTAATTTGTGATCTTCAAAATCTATTCTTTTAGCTCCCTTATGATTTTGACATTGAAATAGCACTGCTGATGTATCCTGTGAGATATGAAGAGAGCATGAATACTGTATTAGTACAAGAAATGGAAAGATTTAACAAGTAAGAATCTATATCCCCAGTGATTCAGAAGGCAATCAACCAAAGTCAATTAAAAAGACACAATGGTATCAAATTGAAAATTTTAAGAAAAGACAATCAAAAATGTCATTTCTTTAGAATTTCCCCTCCCCCTTTTTAAAGTTCTATAATGTCTGTTCCAGAAGATAGGATATCTTTTATAATGTCAAAATAAAAGAAAAAGAGATCTATTCTTACTGATTAAAAATATTCATCATTTATAGTTTCTTGCCCATCTGTTACTATTATTGGGATAAAAGAGAATAAACGTTAACTTGGCCTGTGTGTAATCACATCCTTTGTCTTGTTCTGCCACCCAACACACATATACCTCTCTTTCCTTTCTGAGTCCAGTCTAACCAATCTAAGTTGACTCAGTACTACATGATAACAAACAAATTATTTGCCTTGAGTTTTTCTGAGACAGAGTCTCACTATGTCACCCTCAGAAGAGTGCCGTGGCATCACAACTCAAAACAACTTCAAACTCTTGGGCTTAAGCCATTCTCTTGCCTCAGCCTCCCAAGTAGCTGGGACTATACGTGCCCGCCACAACGCCCGGCTATTTTTTGTTGTTGTTGCTGTTGTTGTTGTAGTTGTCATTGTTGTTTAGCAGACCTGGGCCAGGTTCAAACTTGCCAGCCCTGGCACATGTGGCCAGTGCTCTAACTACTGAGTTACAGGCACCAAGCCATACTTCGAATTTTTTTATTGAATTTTCTGCAGCTTATTACAGGCTTAAGGAATGGAGAATTGTTTTGGTTATGAATTTTCTATAGTTTTCAAGTTTATTTTGGTTTCCATATTTATTTTTTTCTTTCCTTTTTTTTATTTTTAGAGACAGAATCTTGCCTCGGTAGAGTGCTGTGGCATCACAGCTCACAGCAACCTCCAGCTCTTGGGCTTAGGTGATTCTCTTGCCTTGGCCTCCCAAGTAGCTGGGACTACAGGCACCTGCCACAATGCCCGGCTATTTTTTTGTTGCAATTTGGCCAGGGCTGGGTTCAAACTCGCCACCCTTAGTTTATGGGGCTGGCACCCTACTCACTGAGCCACAGGCTCTACCCAATTGGTTTCCATATTTCACTTCTTGTACAAATAATTACACTCTGTCTCTCAGCTACTTAGGCTTCTAGTCTTAAAACTCTCACTATAGATATATTTATAGTGTTCTTAGCAGTTGGTCTAAGTGGGAAGCAAAGTATTTGCAAATGTATAAATTAATATACAGTTTATATTTTAATGCAGTGTTTCCCTATTTACAGCCATTGCATAACACCTTTATAACTTTTTTCATATTTTCACTTGTAATATTATTTACCTAATATTATTCCTTAAATTATTTTTTATTTAAATTAGCCAGATCCTAAGCAAAAATAGCTGGTAAGCAAAAATTTTGATATGTTAGTTGCATTACTTTCTGCATTTTTTTTCTTTTTTTTTTTTTTTTAGAGACAGTCTCACTTTTAGAGACCAGTCTCACGGGTTCAAACCCGCCACCCTCAGTATATGGGGCTGGCACCCTACTCACTGAGTCACAGGCACTGCCATACTTTCTGTATTTTAAAATATGTATGTAATAATTAAATTGACAAATTTGCATGCACATATCACCTAAAATTACCTCACATCCATGAAATGGGAGGTGACTACCCTTTGGGAAACACTCCCATAAATCTGTGGATGAGACTGTGCTATTCTTCTCCTGGAAAAACTGTGTTGATCCTTACCACCATGTGTATGTTGATGACATAATTTCTTTGATTACAGCTTAATTAGAACTATACGCAACACTCTACAGGACCTTGAAAAAGCTATTAAAGGAGTGGTTGTAATGGATTCTACTTTGGAGGCTCTCTCTGGCAGCTTGTTTGTTGGAAAGGTTCCAGAAATATGGGCCCAACGATCATACCCAAGTCTTAAGCCCCTAGGAAGTTATATCACAGATTTTCTAGCCCGGTTAGGCTTTTTACAGGTAAAAGATTTACATATATATATATATATTTTTTTTTTTTACAGGTAAAAGATTTTTATATACATATATATAAGATTTAGATAGACAAATATGTGTATGTGTGTGTGCATGTGTACATGTGGGGTTTTTTTAATGTTTTGATTGACTGGGGGAATGTTAGTAATTGGCTGTGGTTTGCTTAAATGTCTCTTGAGTTGAATGGAATCTGATTAGCAGTTTCATGAATCTAATCAAAATTTTAGAATATTGAAAAAGACACATTTTAAAGTAATGAGTGAAAAATTAAAATTTTACATTACCCAAACCCAAGTAATATGTGACATTTATATGTTTTATGGTTCTAAGTTTATGGTTCTACAAGACCATAGTTTAATGTTGTCTTATGATTTTAATGCTAATAGTAAATCACAAAAAAAATGAAGCTTGGATTTATCAATAATTAGTCATTGTCTTACATCTTACCTCATACAACCAGGAAAAAGATGAGTTCTTTGAATCCCACCACCCTCCTCCACTAAGGTGGAATGTAACATAAACATAAGGCAGGACACTGCTTTTCCTTCTTAGCGCCACTGCTGGCCCCATCCTATGGTTGTTTCTGTCAGAGGATGGAGTGGGGAGAATCCCAAACTATTTCCTTTTGGAAATTCACATAGGTATTTCATCTTTCAGTGTTTTGTTGATTTTTTTTTTTGAGACAGAGCCTCAAGCTGTCCCCCTGGGTAGAGTGCTGTGGCATCACAGCTCACAGCAATCTCCAACTCCTGGGCTCAAGCAAGTCTCTTGCCTCAGCCTCCCAGGTAGCTGGGACCACAGGCACCCGCCACACCCCCAGCTATTTTTTAGTTGCAGCCGTCATTGTTGTTTGGCAGGCCTGGGCTGGATTTGAACCTGCCACCTTAGGTGTATGTGGCTGGTGCCTTAGCCACTTGAGCCATAGGCACCGAGCCTTGAATTTTTATAATACAAAAACTTTATTTGTTTCACTGTGTAAGCTAATTATAAAATAGCCAGTGCTTATGAGGACTTGGAGAAACAGGCTTTCTCATATATACCTTTCAATTTTTGGCTAATTTGATAGGCCAGCCATACCTTATTTCCGTTTGACTTTATTTGATTATTAGTGAGGCTGTGCTTTTTTTTGTTGTATATGCTTTCCATTTGTATTTGCTTCTGTGAATTGCCAATTCATATCCTAGACTCATTTTTAGTTTGTATTATTTTTTAATTTATAGCAGATTTTTTTATGTGGATTATGTGTAACAAAAGAAATAGTAAAAAATAGAATGCTGAAGGGATTTCCTCCATAGTCCTCTGACCCTTAGAGAAGCTGTGTATGGTTTTTTCATGTCTTTCTTTCTCCCGGACTCTTCTTCATCTCTTAATGGTTCTTAGAGTTAACAAGTTAAGCAAATGAGTTATCTGAATTTTCTGTCCTTCTCCATTTCTCTCTCACCATTTGCCCTATTTATCCTGTCTTTGTTCAGGCTGCTTCACCAAAGTACAATAGACTGAGTAACTTAATTGACATTTATTTCTCACAGATCTGGAGGCTGGGAAGTCTAAGACCAGGGTATCAGCACAGTCAGTTCTTGGCACAGACTCACCTGGTTCACAGATGAGAAGGAGAAAAAGAGAGAGACAGAGAGAAATATCTCTCCTGTATCTTCCTATAAGAGCATAAATCCCATCATAACCTAATTACCTCGCAAGAGTCCAGTTTCCAATACCACCACCTCCTGAATTTTGGAGGAAAACGCATTCAGTCCATAGCATCTTCCCTTTCTCCTTCCTGTGCCTTTTTAAAAACTTTTCACACACTGCCTAAGATCCCAGCATAAATCCTGCATCTAACACTTACTATCTCTGTGACCTTGAGCAAGTTACTCATCTTTCTGCACCCCAGTCTCCTTGTCTGTAAAATGTGCCTAACTCACATTATTTTATAGACTGCAAGAGGTGATGGCATGTAAAGTGCTGAGCACGAGGTGATGGCATGTAAAGTGCTGAGCACAGTGCCTAGTAAATAGTAGCTAAATGACCATAGACATTAATAACATTCTTGGGTAAATGAAGGCCTGGGTGAGCCAGAGAATGTTCTCTATACCCTTGCCTTCTGTGTTCTTACAGCTTTCTTATGCTTGGGGCTGGTTCCGCCTGGTTTTTGTCCTTGTCAGACTCCATCTCTCTCTCCCCTCGTCTTGATCTGCTAGTTTGTACTGTTATGACATCTCTAGCAGTAGTGTGTTCTCTTGCTCCTAGGGAACAAAGCTGACGTCTTCCCTTAGTGTCCTGCTTGCTCAGAGACAAGTTCATTTAATTGACTCATCTGTTCACTGAACAAATATGAACTGAAACACCACTTTGTTCAAAGCACTTTATGTGTTAACTCTGTGATAAAAAAGATGAGGACAACAGGAGCCCTGCCTTCAAGCTGCCAATAGCCTACCAGGAAACAGTGTATCTAAAGAAAATTAATATGGTAGAGTGAGGGATGTGCCATAAAAGACTATATGTAAAATGCTTTGGGAATTCAAAGAAGGGAGAAAGTTCTTTTGGGTCAGAAAAGCAGAGTTTATTGCATTTGAGCTGGGTCTAAAGGATGAATGATTTTGGATATATCAAAGAAAGTAAAAGGACGTAGAGATAGATGTATAGTTGTGGGATAAAAGGCACTGTATCATTTAGGATTGATTCCATTGTAAGTAACAAATTTTGACATAAAGCAAAGTGAACATTTGTTTCCTAGCAGGGCATGGTGGCTCACGCCTCTAATCCTAGCACTCTAGGAGGCCAAGACAGGTGGATTGCTTGAACTCAGTAGTTCAAGACCAGACTGAGTAAGAGTAAGACCCCGTCTCTACTAAAAATAGAAAAAATAAAAATTAGCCAGGCATTGTGGCAGGCGCCTGTAGTCTCAGCTTCTCTGGAAGCTGAGGCAGGAGGATCAGCTGAACCCAAGAATTTGAGGTTGCTGTGAGCTATGATACCACAGCACTCTATCCAGGGTGACAGAGTGTCTCAAAAAAAAAAAAAAAAAAAAGAAGAAGAAGAAGAAGAAAGAAAAGAAATTGTTTCCTCATGTAACTGGAAAGCCCAGGGGTTAAAGTGGCTTCAGCTAGGATTTGATGTGGGGTGCAAACATGGATACCTCATCCTGGCTTCTTGCACTTCATCTCTTGGCTCCATTCCCTTTGGGTTAACTTGATTCTCAGGTTCTTGTCTGATAATAGCAAGGTAGCAAAAGCAACAACGCTCACCTCCTCACTGTACAAATTCAGCTAGTTGAGAGTCAATCTTTCCCCAAAAGTCCCACAAGAGTTTCTGCATCTCTGGCATTGATTGGGTCACATGTCCATTTCTGAATCAGTCACTATGACTAAATGTATGTATGATTGGCCACATGAATCACATGCCCACCCAAGGAGGCTAGGTGGGCTTCTCCTACCAAAATTGCTTAGACTGAGAGTATAGGAGGGTTTGCCCTCCAGAGGGAAATAAGGAGAGTATCACTTTAAGATAGGCAGGAAAAACAACAGATGTCCACTCAGCATGTAAGAGACCAGCATATAGTCTAGTCTGATTTAAAATGTAGGATTCCTGGGTGGCGCCTGTGGCTCAGGGAGTAGGACGCTGGCTCCACATACTGAGGGTGGCAGGTTTAAGCCTGGCCCCAGCCGAACTGCAACAAAAAAATAGCTGGTCATTGTGGTAGGTGCCTGTAGTCCCAGCTACTTGGGAGGCTGAGATAAGAGCCAGGGGTCCTCAAACTTTTTAAACAGGGGGCCAGTTCACTGTCCCTCAGACTGTTGGAGGGCCGAACTGCGGGCCCCAGACAAGTCGGCTGCTAAGTAGGACAGGCAGCGGCGGCAAAAATAGCCAGCTGGCCGGATAAATGTCCTAGGCGGGCTGCATGTGGCCCATGGGCCGTAGTTTGAGGACGCCTGGTAGGCCCAGGAGTTGGAGGTTGCTGTGAGCTGTGTGATGCCACGGCACTCTACCGAGGGCAACAAAGTGAAACTCTGTCTCTACAAAAAAAAATTAAAAAATAAAATAACATTAAAATGTAGGGTTCCTGAAAGGAAGTAAAAAAGAGAGAGAACTGAAAATACAATTTGGGGCCCAATTGGGAATATCTTTAATAGGAGACTAAGAGGTTTAAGCTTTAATTTGATAGTTCACTGTAGAATTTGGTAGGTCCCTGAAGAATTATGCAAGATGGTAAATCTGATACAAACTGTGCACAATAAGGTTTGTTCTGGCAGCATTCTTCTAGATATATTGAACAGAAAGGGAAGAATCAAGAAGACAGTATACACTGGAACAGAAAGAAGACCATGAGTATATGGTCTGGAGTGGGGCAGCGGGTGTAGACACAGGGGCTTAAGGGGGATAAATAATTGAAATCAGCTCATGAGGGCTAGAGTTACTTTTGAGCGGGATAAGTAATATGTGCATATAATAAAACCCCAAATAATGTTCACGTGGCTTTTTGCACATGTACATATTTGAATCTTTCAAACTATGTTTTATTTAGGTAAAGGGTCAAATAATTATGAATTTTCCAAGAAGAGTAACTAGGAATAACAAGTTACTAGAAGGATAAAGATGGAGAGGGTCAAGCTAGGCTGTGTGTTTGATGTCAGAAAAGAGAGTCTTGCAATGGAAAGTATGGACAACATAGACCAAAAACAGAACCAGGAATTGTACATCAGATGACAGTTATATAAATTGAAAATGGACATGATATATTTTGTTTTCCCTTTGTAGGCCTGGTATAATTATGGAAAACCTTGTGTGTTTTGGCTGTCGGGTTTCTTTTTCACCCAAGCCTTTTTAACTGGAGCTATGCAGAATTATGCCAGAAAATATACCACCCCTATTGATTTACTAGGATATGAATTTGAGGTACAGTAACTCCTTATACTCAATAGTATATCACTATATCAAGTCATGCATTTAAGTAGAATTTCTATATTATAACCTAATATAAGCAATTTTACTTCTTTTTATTCTTTGTTCCATAAAGAAAGTATATAATGCTTGTCTTACATCCCTAAAATAGAAATTTTATATAAAACTTCTAATATTTCAACTTTTCAATATATGATTTGATTAATTCAATGCTGTTCTACTGTTTTAGAAAAAATTTAAGTGAGATACTTAAAGTGAGTAAAACCTGCTAAAATACAGGATTTCCCCCTGGAATCTGAACCCTCCAGCACTCTAACAACTTATAGTGAATGAAAAATTCGAGCAAATTTTGCCCAAAATCTGAATGCTATTTTGGAATTTGAACACCCAGCCTGCTGTTCATGTGTTTTGTGCATATGTCTCCCCAGTGCTCTGGCCACCCATGTACTTTGTTGTTTGGTTTATTGTTGGAAGCTATAGTGAAAGCATTCCGTGTGATTTTCGCTGCTAATTTTATGCCTTTGTGCCTGTGTGTGTGTATATATATATATATATATATGTAATAACAACTAAGTGTATTCACCATGGGTTGTAAAAATTGGAGTGAGGAATTTAGAGTAAGAGGAAAGCTGTTAGAGCTACAGCTGAAGTTAAGACAGATCTCATCTCTAAGCATGAAAGCAGTACACCTGTGGCTGATCTCACTACTATGTACAGGATGCTTAATTCGTCAATTTTGGAAAGTAAAGAAGCTATCAAAGCAGCTGATGTGGTGAAAGGGGTTACAACGCTGACCTCCAGGAGATCAAAAAGTATGGAAGAGATGGAAAACAATTCTTACTTTGGATTCATGAAAAACAGCTGGCTAAGGCCGGATACAGTGGCTCACGCCTATAACCGTAGCACTCTGGCAGGCCAAGGCAGGTGATTGCTTAAGCTCATGGGTTCAAAACCAGCCTAAACAAGAGCAAGACCCCATCTCTAAAAATAGCTGGGTGTTGTGGTGGGAGCCTGTTGTCCCAGCTACTTGAGAGGCTGAGGCAAGAGAATCACTTGAGCTCAAGAGTCTGAGGTTGCTTTGAGCTATGACACTACAGCACACTACTGAGGGTGACAAAGTGAAACTCTGTCTCAAAAAAAAAACAAAACAGCTAGCTGGTGATGTGATTTCTGAGACGATAATTTGTGAGAAAGTCAAGGCCCTCCAGGATGATTTAGTGAAATGCACGCCTTATACTAGTGCTCAAAAGGAGTCTAAAGCCAATAGGGGCTGGTTTGAGAACTTTAAGGACTGGGATCCATAGTGTTGTTAGCTCAGAGAGGCTGCCAGTTCTAATTCAGAAGCAGCAGAAAAGTTTGTAAAGGAGTTTAAGGAGTTTAAGGAGTTTGAGGAGTTTGTGAATAGTGAGGGGTATGTTTTGAACCAAGTGTTGTTCAATTGTGACAAAATAGGCCTTTATATTTTTAGGTTTTATATTTTTAATTTTATTAACTTACATTTTTATTCAAATATTATTTTACCTTAAAATCCATTGTATTTAAAATAATTTAAAATAATTTTCATAATTCAAGTTTACAGGACCCAGGAATGGATTAATCCAGTTTCTATTATTTTAAAGGGGAAAAATTGTCTTGGAACTTGAATGATTTAGAACTCAAATGGGGTTCTGGAACGGATTAAGTTTGGAGTCAGAGGTATCAGTTTACTTCAAAAAGGACCATATTATATATTTTTACAATCTATGGCTGAAAATATGTTTAGTTACAAGCTATTGTATGTATAGTAGAGTTCCCCTGAATGTGTTCTGAATATTTAGCTAATGTTTTCTTTATGAGACTAAGTTTTCTGGAGAGGAATGGTTACTGGCCTTGCGTCTCCCTTCAGGTTATTCCTTCTGATACATCCGACACATCACCAGAAGATGGCGTTTACATCCATGGATTATATCTTGATGGAGCACGCTGGGACAGAGAAAGGTTAGTAGTTGCAAAGACCTTTTCTTTTCTTTTTTTTTTTTTTTGAGATGGAGCCTCAAGCTATCCCCCTGGGTAGAGTGCCATGGCATCACGCTCACAGCAACCTCCAACTCTTGGGCTCAA